GGGAGTCCCTTTATATAGAAAAGAGGGCAGGCCAATATCCATTAAAATATAAACACTATCTTTCGGCAGATGTAGGCAGAAACTATTCCTTTAGATGACCAAAACTGGTCACAGCGGGTCACAGTCATACAGCAAATGTCCGCAGAACCGCTAAAATCGCCCCACGTCCAGTAATTCTAAGCTGATCAAGGGGCACCTATGTTAGAAAGCACTGAGAAGCTCTTGGCCTTTTCTTGATTCCAGTCCCCCAGAAAGGGCCAAGAGAAGACTTCCAGGGTCTAACCCCTATCTGAGGCCCCCTTTGCAGCCCTCTCCTCTCAGCCACACACCACTGTCCCATCCTCCCGGCTCCATAGCCATGAATCATATGTGGCTATCTAAATTAAATTAATTAAAATTACGTTGAAAACTCAGCTCTTCAGGCACACCAGCCACACTTCAAGTGCTCAGCAGCCACAAGTAACTACTGGCAGCACACATTATAGAACATTTTCATCACCACAGAAAGTTCTCATAGACAACGCTGGTCTGTAGGCTAGAAATTTCTTTCCAGGCATCTTAAGATTTTTTTTTTTAAATCAAAGTTCTCTTTGGAAAGAAGAAAAGGCAGAAATCGGGGTGGAGCTGTCATCTTGGTATACTGTGCTTGGAAGCACAGGCTGACAGAGAACGAATTGACGCAAATTTGGCTTGAACTGGGTTTTTTCCAGATGCCACTTTACCGTGTGTCTCTCCCAAGAACAGGAGCCATGTGGGCGTGTGTGTTTCAGGCTGCGTTTGGCACTGGAGGTTAAAACAGGGCGTTCTCTTCCTTCTCGCTTTCTCTTCAAGAGAAATAACTTTTTCCTCAAACTTATGATAAAGAAGACACTTGGTAAAAATGTTTGGGAACCTCTGGTTTGGGCTAAATGAAGGCTCTTTGGAGACACACACTAGCCAGATTCTAAGGCATAAAAGAAGTCTTGGACGCCAGGGGACACTGGACTGGCCACCAAGATGAATCATCCCATGGGGTCTCTTGGTACCTCATTCATTCACTCATTCAACCAGCATTTACCAAGCGCCCGCTACGTTCCAGGCACTGTTCTAAGCTACAGAGATACATCTGTAAGCTGAACAAAGACCCTCCCTCATGGAACTTACCCACAAGAATGGAAGAATCTGACCTACAGTATAAATAATGGTGTCACATCAGTATCATGGATCCAGGCCAGCCATACACTGATGATAACAATAGCTGCCTCGCTTTGAATTCCATAATCCCACCACTATTCTGTACCAAGCACGGTGCACTCCTCTCTCAGTGGATGGTCATAGTCCTCACAGCTACCATAGTAAGTCTCAGTTCTGTCATTAGTCTCATCTTCCATTTGTGCAAACACAGAAAGGCCAAGCAAGTAGCTTAAAATCGTACCACTGTACAGGCATGCACCAGTGCTCCAACCCTGGTCTCACTCATGCCATATGGTAGAGGGAAATCATACACTGTCAAATATTCAGGGATTCTAGAATGTTGCAAATAGAAGAATGAACAAGACATACCCGGTGGTAAAGACAGATACAGTGTGATGTATCTCATGGTCAATAGAAAATAGAAGTCACTATCGAAACAGAGGAAGGGCATATAAACCAGCCTCCAGGGATGTGGCCAGGGTACTATCAGGGAATGCTTCCTGGAGGAGGTGATACATGAATGAAGTCCTAAGGGAAAAATAGAAGTACAAGTGTTGAAAATGTGGGGAGGGAGGAAGGTATGCTGGGCAAAGGGAACAGAAGGGCCTAGGCCTAGAGGGAAGCAGATATTCAGTGTGGGTGGTGTACAGTTTGGAAGAAGAAGAAAAGGGCCCAGTGATGGATTTTACAACCTTCTCAGAAGTATTCACTTGACTTGGAAGGTTTGGGGCAGTCATCAAACAATGCTGCGAATGAAAGCATGGTTAAAAAAAAAAAAAAAATGCTCCTTAGTATCTACATCAGGAAGGTTGCTTGTCACCAGCTTGAGATGGTGGCAAGAGCGCCATGAATATCCACCTTAGCCGGGCGCGGTGGCTCACGCCTGTAATCCCAGCACTTTGGAAGGCCGAGGCGGGCGGATCACAAGGTCAGGAGATCGAGACCACGGTGAAACCCCATCTCTACTAAAAATACAAAAAATTAGCCAGGCGCGGTGGCGGGTGCCTGTAGTCCCAGCTACTTGGGAGGCTGAGGCAGGAGAATGGCGTGAACCCGGGAGGCGGAGCTTGCAGTGAGCCGAGATCACGCCACTGCACTCCAGCCAGAGGGACAGAGCAAGACTCCGTCTCAAAAAAAGAATATCCGCCTTAGGCTTTTACACACAGCCCTTTGTAGTTTACAAAGCAATTTCATGTGCCCAAACTCCTAAAGCTGTTAAATGGCAGCGCCAGTCCTCTGCAAGCTCAGATCAGGGCTCCAGCCTCTATTCCACAGCCAGCCTGCCAGACCCAGTGGTTGGTTGGCTGACTGTCCTGGGAAAAACTAAAAGCAGAGAGTTTCCATTGCAGATGACTTTGAAAGGACCTGGGGATGCCATCCTGGTCTCCAGGCTGAGGCAGTGAGTCTGGAATCAAGAAATGCTCTGGTTAATACTTCTACAGGCTAGCCTCAAATTCCTAGCCTCAAGTGATCCTCCTACCACGGCCTCCCAAAGTGCTGGGATTATAAGCGTGAACCATAGTGCCTGGCCAAGAGAAGATTCTTGACCAAAGTCTGTACTTAAAAGCCCTGGCCAACATCTCACTGAAACTTATGAGAGACTCTGAGGCAGAACTGCCCAGCCAAGCTGCTCCCAAATTCCTGACCCAGAGAAACTGAGAGACTGTTTATTTTTCTTACAAGCCACTAAGTTTCAGGGTCATTTATTAAGCAGCCACTCATCTAGTTTATAGTGTGTGCCCTCCAGGGGGACTGCATTTTAATGGGGGACTCAGAGAGGCTGCCCATGGAGCAGAAAAAGCCCTAGGCTGGAAGTCAAGAGACCTGGGCCTGGTCTTACTTCTACCTCATAAAAGCTGCGTAGCCCTGGAAGACATGCTTCAGGGCTCTGAATGTCAGTGTTCTCATCGTAAACACTTTTTTAACGGAAGGGGCAGGTGTTGAACTAGATATCCTCTCGGATCTCTTCCAACTTTCATTTTCTAACTGTTGGAAGAGAGAAACTGGGAGCAGAGCACAGCACTCCCGGCCAGGCCAGCAGCTACTTTCTCCCCAGCTCGCAGGCATAAGCCAAGGCCACGGGAGGAAAGGAGGCCCCTGGCCCTTTCCTTGATTGAACCCAGGTTCTCCACTCCCGGAGTCGGCCTGTGACCCTTTCAATTTAGTGGGTGGAAGTCTCCAAGAAGACGATGTACAAGTCACAATCCAAGCCCTCTGGAAAAGACTGAGGCTTAACCCATAAGCAGCAATGGAAAACGAAAGCTACAATCTCTAAATCAGTGGTTCTCAACCAAGGACAGCTCCCAGCTCGCAAGCAAGGACAACTCCTGGCTCTCCTGGCCGGACATCTGACATTTGACAATGTTTGTGACACTTTGGGTTGTCACAACTGGAAGTGTAGGTGCTACTGGCATTATACTGCTGAGCTCCTTCGCTCGCTCACTGTCTCATCCACACCCATATACCCACACACACCCCAAGACACTTGTCTCTGTGGATGCTTGCCCCAGTTTCTCAGCAGCTCTGGTGGATCTGGGGGTTAGGGATCTAGACTGTCAAGGGGGCAACCAAACTGAAACCTGGAGTGGAGCCACCAAGAGGCAGAGCCTGGTTTTGTGGGTCTGAAACATACATACTTTCAGGGAATCTCATATAGATATACGCATGAACATGGCCTTGGGGTGGCAGAAGCGTTAGCGTTTTCAGCTTTGGGGTAAATCCATTCTCTGGAACCTTGGCTTTAAGGAGCCCCTGCAAAGCGCAGAGCTTTCTTCTGGGGGCGCATTTCTGCAGCCCGGAGTCAGCACGGTCCGCTCGCCCGGAAACATCCCCGGCGGCGAGTACAGGCAGGCACGCGAGAACTCTCTCCTGCCTGCGTGGGAGGCAAAAGCCGCCCTGGCTGCCCACGCCGCAGCCCTGTGCTCTGCGCCCGCCAGCCCCCAGTCCCACAGCGACGCGCCTCCTAGTCCCACAGCCCCGAGCCCCGCAGCCCCGCGCGCCTCAGCCCGCAGCGCTCTCGCCCGGCAGCACTGCCCCCTGGTGGGCGCCACGAGCAGCGCCCGCCCGCTCCTCCGACACCCAGGCTGAGCTGCTCCCAGCCCGCTCCAGACACTGCACCCACCAGGCTCCGCTCCACACGCCCACATGTCCCAACTGCCAGCCTTAGGACCAAGCAGAAGTGCATCCCTGACGTTCCTGTGGTCTCAGCGCACAACGGCCAAGACACCACAATCACAATGTATCTTGCAGGTCATAGCTCCCCTTTCTGATATTTTCAACTCATGGGCATGGCTCCTGCTGGCCGCCTTCAAGCTTGCTCTGCACAAAAATACACACACGCTCACACTTGCGCGCGCGCGCACACACACACACTCCTCAGTACTACTGACATGCAACCAGGTGCCGTGGACAGAAGAGCCATCATCTGCCCAGCGGTCTGGCACCCTGGAGACCTTTCCCCTGGCCTAGTTCTTCCGGCTCCTCAGGTCTCAGTTTGGACGCCCCATTCCAATCCAGGAAGCCTTCCTCACCCGGGCAAGGTATTCTCACCACACCCCAAACCTCTTTTGCTCTAAGGCAAGGTGCCACATCCCAGGCCGCAGACCAGTACCCGTTTGTGGCCTGTTAGGAACCGGGCTGCACAGACGGAGGTGAGCCGTGGGGCGAGGACGAGCATGACCGCCTGAGCTCCGCCTCCTGTCAGATCAGCAGTGGCATTCGATTCTCATAGGAGCGTGAACTCTGTTGTAAACTGCTTATGGGAGGGATCTAGGCTGCGTGTTCCTTATGAGAATCTAATGCCTGATGATCTGTCTCTGTCTCCTATCATCCCCAGATGTGACCATCTAGTTGCAGGAAAACAAGCTCAGGGCTCCCACTGATTCTACATTACGGTGAGTTGTAATTATTTCATTATATATTACAATGTAATAATTATTATTATTCTTACATTACAATAATTATTTCATTATACATTACAATGTAATAATAATAGAAATAAAGTGCACAATAAATGTAATGAGCTTGAACCATCTGAAACCATTCTCCACCCCACACCTCCAGCCCTTTCCAGTCTGTGGAAAAAAAGTGTCTTCCATGAAACTGGTCCCTGGTGCCAAAAAGTTTGGCGATCGCTGCTCTACAGATTGATTGGTTGATAAATTGATGTTTGGATTCAGTCTCCCAGGCCCTGGGTTTGTCTCTGGGAATACAAAGATGAGGAGGCCATGTGGTGCAGGCAGGGAGATGCCAGACTGGATGGCCTTATCCCTCCAGACATCCTAAGATTTGGGAAGAGAACAGGTTTTCTTCCAAGTGAACCCCCAGGCCAGCTTCCTAAAACCCCCTCCTTCCTAGTTCAGCCCACATCACTCTCCTCCTTAGTGCTGCCTCCCTTCACTGCTTCTCGGAGTATTTTCCACAGCTGGTTGTAGATAGGGGTACCCCTCCCTGCCTCGGAGGGAGAGCATGAAAAGGTATTACAGGAAATTTCACCAGGGACCATGGGAGAGAAAGAGGAAACCCTGGGTACGTGTGTGCCAGCACGTGTCAGTGTGCACGTATGTGTGCATGCAAGGTGAATGCACACACGCGGGGGAGTCTAGAGGTTCCACAACACTAAATCCATTCTGGCGGTTTTAGCTAAAAGTGGGGAGGGGATTCCACATGCTTGGCACATGACAGTGTAGTGGTTCAAATAATGTTTCCCCAAAATTCACCTTCACCCAGAATCTCAGAATGTGACCTTATTTGGGAATGGGGTCTTTGCAGATGTCATTAGTTAAGGTCATACTGGATTACGGTGGACCCTAAATTCAATGAGTGGACCCTAAATTCAATGACTGATGTCTTTATAAGATAAAGGAGAAACTTAGACACAAGGTCACAGGGACACAAGGAAGAAGCCCCGTGACAATGGAGGGAGAGACACAGAGCAGATTCTCGCTCAGAGTCTCCAAAAGGAGCCAACCCTGCCCACACCTTGATTGTGGACTTCTGGCCTCCTGAACAGTGACAGAATAAATTTCTGATGTTTCAGGCCACTAAGTTTTGAGCTCATCTGTTACACAGCAATGGAGACAGGCCCAAAGGCCATGTGAAAGATCAGGAAGAACACACAAAGCTCTGAGAGACTCGAGTGAAGGGAATGAGGGGGAGATGCTCAAAACCAGAAAGACTGGCAAGGAAGGCAGGGACCAGATCGTGGAGGAGACTTCAGATCACACTCAGGGTCTCCAATAAGGTTTGCTTTGTTCTAGGAGCGATGGGGAGGAACTGGTGGGACCTGAACAGGAAGGACACTGTCAGATTTCACTCTAGAAAGACAGCTCTGGCTCCAGCAGGAGGACAGATGGGCAATAGATGGTGGCACCTTCTCCAGGATAAGGAGAAATGGATGGATTTGACACATTGGAGAAGTGGAATTAAGAGGATTTATATACTATTAGATTAGATATGGGTTGGGCACAGCAGCTCATACCTATAATTCCGGCACTTTGGGAGGATCACTTGAGCCAAGGAGTTTGAGACCAGCCTGGGCAACATAAAGAGACAAAATTTAAAAATTAGCAAGGCATGGTGACACATGACTGTGGTCTCAGTGACTCAGGAGGCTGAGGCAGGAGGGATCCCTTGAGCCCGGGAGATGGAGGCTGCCTTGAATTATGATTGCACCACTGCACCCAGCCTGAGTGACAGAGCAAGACCCTGTCTCAAAATAGATCGGATATAGACAACTGAGGGAGGTGGGGACTGCCTCTGCCAACTGAATGGAAAGTGACACCACTCACTGAGAAAGTGGACAAGGCCCAGATTTAAGAGAGGTATAAGTACAGGCAAATGTGAGGTATCTATGGGCATCCAATAGAGATGGCCAGGAAATAATGAGACTTGCAGACCTGTCACTAAGGAGAGATAGCTTGTGGCTCCTCATTATGGCCATGGGACTGTTAAGCAGTAGATTGTTTTGATTACTAGCTGCCGTTTACAAAAATCTGAGGATGCTCAAGTCCAGGATATAAAATCATGCAGTAATTGTATATAACCTATGCACATTCTCCCCCCACCCTTTTTTTTTTTTTTTTTTTTTTTTTTCTGAGACAGAGCCTTGCTCTGTCACCCAGGCTGGAGTGCAGTGGCACGATCTCCGTTCACTGCAACCTCCACCTTCTGGGTTCAAGCAATTACCCTGCCTCAACCTCCTGAGTAGCTGGAACTACAGGCGTGCGCCACCACACCAGGCTAAGTTTTATATTCTTAGTAGAGACGGGGTTTCACCATGTTGGCCAGGCTGGTCTCCAACTCTTGACCTCAAGTGGTTCGCTCACCTCAGCCTTCCAAAATGCTGGGATTACAGGAGCCAGCCACCGCTCCCAGCCCTTCCCTATACTTTAAAGCATCTCTACATTAGTTGTAATAACTATTACAACGTAAAGGCTACATACATAGTTGTTATATTGTATTGCTTACAGAATGACAAGAAAAAATACTTTCCGCCGCCGCCGTCCCCAGAAGCCGCCAGGACCCTCGCGCTGTCGCCGCCGCAGCCCAGATCCCCGCACCTGCCGGGGGAGACCTTCAGGCAGGGCTGCACCTTCGAACAAAGAGTAGATGTCCGACTTATTCGAGAGCAGCATCCAGCCAAAATCCCGGTGATAACAGAATGATACAAGGGTGAGAAGCAGCTTCCTGTCCTGGATAAAACGAAGTTCCTTGTACCTGACGTTCGAGACGTCAACGAGAGTGAGCTCATCAAGATAATTAGAAGGCGCTTACAGCTCAATGCTAATCAATCCTTCCTCCTGGTGGTGAGCGGACACAGCGTGGTGGGCGTCTTCATGGTCTCAGAGGTGTATGAGAGTGAGGATGAAGGTGGATTCCTGTACATGGTCTATGTCTCCCATGAGACGTTTGGGATGAAATTGTCAGTGTAAAACTAGAAAAATGCATCTATTCTAGAATTTTTTTAAACCTTTAACCAAGGCAAAGAAAAAAAAACAGGGATGTTGCCAACTGAGATCGATCAGTTCATCTAATCACAGATCATCAAACAGTACTGTTCCCACCTACGAGTGTTACAAGTTGTGTTTGTATTTCAAGCAGAAAAACTGAGCTCCAAGTGAACTCAGTTTTGGAAACTGTATTATTTAATGTAGGCCAGCTTGTTTTCAAATTTTAAAAGTTTAAAAATAAAATACTTTGTGTTCTAAGTTGCCAATGAAATAGACCTTCAAGTTATTTTAATGCTGTTTTCTCACTAATAGGAACTTGCAATTCCAGCAGTAATTTAAAGGCTTTCAGAGAGACCCTGAGTCTTCTCTTCAGGTTCACAGAACCCGCCGCCTTTTCGGGTAGTTTTCTACTTAGCTGGAGAGATCTCCGTAAGAGGATCTGTAGGCCTGAGTTGTGAAGCATAATCCCTGCAAAACGCATTTGCCGTAATAGTTGGCGCAAACGCAGGGTAAATGGGGTGTGTGTAAGAAAACAGCCCTGACTGTAAACGCTGCTCCAGGCTCCTGACTCCTAACAGAGCTATACCCAAAGTCCACACTCTTGCAGGGGTAGACATTTTTTATTTGGTTTGTTCTCTAGATAGTTACACACATAAAGACACCACTCAAAAGGAAACTTGAATAATTTATAATTTTGGTCCAGTTTCTTAAAAGACCCCGGAGGAAGAGTGGCACTTCTTCTGTTTCAGGTTTTGTCTGAGTTCAAACTAGTGCCTGTGTTGGTGTGGAAAGAAGCAGTGTAGCCGTGTCATTCTTTAGGACAGTGGTAGAAACCACAGAATAGTATAACTAAAAGCATTAAAATTCAGACACACTCCCTTCTACCTTTTGGCTTAAAGCTATGGATGATCCATGTTTTTCTTTTTGTTTTTTTAATGTTAAATGTGTAACTCAATATTATTGAAAAGGTTCCCACATTTTTAACAGTAGTTCAGTTATCACTGTTAGGTCAAACAGCCATCAGAATTCCCCTGCACTGAATGCATGTCAGCTGTGGAGAAAACAGAAAAAGGAGCCATGCACTCTTTACAAATACTAATGTCAAGAGTTAAACCTCTTCAGGTTCAACCTATGATAAAAGACCAGTGCTTCCCACTACCTGCATGGGGTTCACTATTTACAGTTTTCTTGGGAGTATCACAGGAAGATCACAGTTACACCACTTTAGACTGTACGTGTAGCAGGTCACAACTTACCCTCGTGTGTTCAGATGTGTATGGAATACCTGTATACGTTAGTGAAAGCTATTTACTGTAACAGGGGAAGTCCAGATTCCTTGCATCTGAGCCCTGTACTGATCGTTAAAGGAGTTCCTATCACCTGCTCTCCCCGCTGCATGCGTCTGTCCACTTGGCTAGCTTTTAGTATGTGTATGTTTACATCATGTAAATTCTTAACCGGCCTGTCTCGTTTAGACTGTATACATCATATCTGACATTATTGTAACTACTGTGTGATCAGTAAGATTCCTCTAAGAAATACTGCTTTTTAAAAAAATAAATAACATGCTGAGGGGTGACCTATAGCCCATGTTAGTTTGTAGGATCTTTAAAACAAGTACATTTTTAATGAACTAAGTGGAATAAAGGCACAATTACAAACTGTAAAAAAAATACTTTCTACATATTCAGTACTGAATTTTTTAAGTGTTTTTTATCTAAGGCTGGTTGAATTCACAGGTATACAACCCGTGCATATGAAAGGCCAACTGTATTTTATCCCATTATTTGTACTAATAGGACACTTTTGAAACTGATAATTCCAATTTGATGCCCACCTACATGAAAACCTTTAACTCATTTGCATTAAATCCTTTGTGGAAAGAGAATTAAACCTGAGAGTCAAAAGTCCTGGGTTCCCATCCTTGCAATAGCAGTGGTCAAACTACATTTCCAAGCCTCAGCTGTATCATATCCAAAACAGGAATAATGGTAATGCCAGCCTCGCAAAGTAGCTGAGAAGAGTAAATGAGACCACTTACGTGAAAGATAACTTATGTGATGGGCTGTCAAATAAGGTTTGCTTGTAAGAAAATTCCTAGGGAGTCTACCAATTATTTCACCAGACTGAAATTCCATATTATATGTGGCTCGTGGTTTATCAGTTAAAGCTTACAATTCTCAAGTCCCAGCTCCCCCCTGGTGAAAACTCAACCACTGTCTCCTTCCTGCCTCCCCGACACTGTTGATTCCTCTCTACTATGGCGATTCGGCAGAGTCCGGGGCCTTCGTCTCCCTCCCCACATCTGAGCTGCTCCATCCATCCCTATAACCCTCTGCAGGCAGCATAATAGTTAATACCAAACAGACACTTGCTAAGTGTTGATTTAAACTAGATTCATCTTTTAAAAGATGTGAGTTATAATTACATTTGACTTGTGTAAATTGAGCTATTAATCCCAAAAGTTAAATTTGACTCCAGTGGGTTAAAAACTTCCTCCAGACTGGCCGGTGGCTAGTGCCTTTTGTCCCAGCTACTAAGGAGGCTGAGGCAGGAGGATTGCTTGAGGCCAGGAGGTAAATGCTGTAGTGTGCCATTATGGTGCCTGTAAATAGACTCTACATTCCAGCCTGGGCAACATAGCAAGACCCCATACCTAATAAACAAACAAAAAAACAAAACTTTCTCTAAATCACAACTACCTTAAATTGGTTTTAAATACAGCCCCTTTGTAACCTCAGGTTCCACATCCACCTATTCAACATGGATCGAAAATATTCAGGGAAAAAGAAACAGTAAAAAATCATAACACAACAATAAATAATAATACAAATAAAAAGCAATGCAGTTTAACAACTATTTACACAGCATATATATTGTATTAGGTATTATAAGTAATCCAGAGATGATTTAAAGCACACAGCAGGACGTGCAGAGGTAATATGTAAATACGATGCTATTTTATATATAAGAGTGGAGCCTCTGGGATTTTGGTGTGCGGGTTGAGGGGTCCTGGAACCAATTCCCTCGAATACCGAGGGCCAACAGCATTTGCTTTATCACATTGGACAACGTGTAAAACACCTGGGGCGAGGAGTGAAAACTGAATTTCTAAGGGAAGAGAGGAGAGGAAAAGGAAGGCAGAAACATGCTTGGAAAAATCCAGGGAAACATACCTGGGCCCACAAAGAGATTACATAACTTGGCGTTTTGAGACAATGGGCGACCTCTGGGATGATTAGGAACTGGGAAGAACTTCGCTTGCGCCACATAGCAATGCCTCAAAGAGCCACAAGATGGCAATATTACTCCAGGAGAGTCTCCGTCCCGCTCACCCCGGTAGCCAAGGGCTTTCTTTGTTCACAGGAAACCCTCTCTCGCAAATATCGTCAGTGCCACTGTACGTTTTCCATTACTTCACGCTCCTGGCCTTACCTTCAGCCACTTCCCTATCACTAGCCCAAATATAAAAATAAACTACCGCTATTTGTTACATCTTAAAAACAGCACTTTGGTTTCTGCTCTCAATTGCCAAAGCAGCTGAATCAAATGTTTTGTTTTAATGAGAAGCATAAAATAAAAACCCAGATGAGGGTGATCTCTTCCTTTTTGTGAGTTAACACCCAGACAGACTTCCCAGGTAAACTAGGTGTCGCCAGACTGGAGACAGTTCAGAGACAGAAGTGCCACTTGAGACAAGATTCAGTTCTCCAGTGGGAGACAGGGGCTACCAGCCCTCTTAAAACGGTGTGGGAAAGAAGGCTGAGAACCCGCTCTGTAGAGAGTGGAGAACAAAAGCTCAATACCATATCTTTTAACTTATTATGAAAAAATCCAACTATACAAAAGTAGACAGAATGGTATGACAAACCCAAATACCATCTTAAGAACTGTGAAACTGTAAACCAGGAAACAGTCTGCAAGGAAAAAAATCTAAGTTTCCAGTTTGTTGAGGACCCCTAAGATGTAAGTTACCAGAACCCTGGGTCTGCCCATTCCAGCCCTTTATAGTATAGTCCTTTAACACAGTCTTTCAATGTAATGCTCTTTTAATGAAAAGTCCTTAAAAGAGAAGAGTGGGAGAGGCTAGCCCCTGAGCTCTGGTCTTCAAAGGGCAAGCTGGAAAAGGGAGCAGGGGTGGCTGCATCAACTCCTGGTCAGACTCAGAAAAAGAGGTCACCCATGAGGAGACACAGATAGTCCAGACTGTCGGGGAGAGAGGCAAACACACCCGTGCCAGTGCCCCAAAAGCAGAGCCCTCAACTTCCTCAGCCACTGTCCCTGACCATAGCTTCAAAACAGTTCAGTCCTGAAGAGTGAGTAACCAATTTCAGCACCAAAAGGATTTGAAAGGTTGCTTAGTCTCCTGCTGGGCAGAGGCTCTTTACCTGGATGGACTACCAGAGATATCTGAACACCCAGAAAATTATATACTGATTGAATGTCCCTTATCCAAAGGGCTTGGAATCAGAAATGCTTGGATTTCAGATCTTATCGGACTTTGGAATATTTGCATTATACAGCATCCCTAATCCAAAAATCAGAAATCTGAAATGCTCCAAGGAACATTCCCTTTGATTGTTATATAGGTGCTCAAAAAGTTCCAGGTTTTGGAGAATTTCTGATTTTTTATTTTTGGGTTAGGGATATTCAACCTGTACATGGACGTTTTCCTACAGCTTTTCTATTGCCAAAGAACTTTGGGGCCACTCCTTGTCCCCTCACCTCTGCCAGAAAAAAAAAAAAAAAAAAATCTAAAAAAACCACTGTAATGATACAGATAATGCTTAACCAGTCTTTCTTCTCTTATGGTCTTTTTTTTTTTCTTTGAGAGAGAGGGTCTCACTGCTTGGCCCAGGCTGGAACACAGTGGTGCGATCTCTGCTCACTGCAACCTCTGCCTCCTAGGCTCAAGCAATCCTCCCATCTCAGCCTCCTGCATAGCTGGAACTACAGGTGTGCATCACCACACCTGGCTAATT